GGGTGGGGGTCCAGTTCAAACCCCTCCCCTCCCCCTTCCAAGCGCCCGCAGAACGCGCTGTTTCAAAGGTGCGGGCGCGTCGCGGGCGGGTCGCGGTCCCGCCGTGTGTGGGTCGGGGTTGCGCGGGCCGTCGGGGGCCCAGGCCGGGGGCGCGCGGGCCGTGGCGGGCGCGCGTCGCAGGGAGCGAAAGGGCCGCGGGGGGGGAGGGCGCAGGGCGGGGGCGCGGGGCCTCGCGGCGGGCCGCGGGTCGCGGACGACGCGGGCGCGGGTCCGCGGGTGGCGCTGGTCGCGGGCGCGGTGCGTGGGCTTGCGTGGCGTGTCGTGCGGCGGCGGCGGCGATAAGAGCGACAGCGATCGGTATCAAGAGCGGCCGCTCATGAGGGCTCACCGGTATTTCGACTTGTTCCTCTGGCCCCGTACGCCCGCCCTAGTACTCTTCCGCTTCTCCCTTGCAGGGGGCCTGTCCCGTCCATGTTCTTTTTCGCTGCGGGGATGTTCACGTGAATGTTTTTTTGATGGATGGTGTTGACGATGATCATGATGCTGCTGCTGATGATGATGGTGTTGGTGATGATGATGATTCTGACGGTGGCGGTGATGATGGTGCCGGTGGTGATGATGATGATGATGATGATGATGCTGATGCTGTTGCTGCTGCTGGTGATGATGATGATGGAGGTGGTGGTGCGATGGGAGCTACGTTGAAGTTGCTGCTCCCTGTGATGGTGATGACGTAGCTGGTAATGCTTCCCGTTTACTCCAGAATGCATGTTACTTAAATGTAGCACCATGCTCGACCTCGCGGATCGTCTTTTGCTTCTTCGAATGTTTCCCTTTGCCCATGATTGTTTTACACGCAATGGTGCTTATATTTGTGTTCGTCTTGCCAGCTACGGTTGCAGATGATTGTGCGAATGATCTCCGTGTTAGCGGATGAGGCTATATTTTATGTGTGTCGTTCTTAGTCGTGCTTTAAGTATGATGTTCAAGTCGGCATTGCGGCGCACTTCATTTTTGAGCATCAACGCTCCCCATTGTTTACGGGTGGGTTCCCCTCTGGGGCCTGCCCACGAGGCTTCCGAGGCCCAGAACGGTCCAAGTGTCCCCCCGGATGCCCCCATAGGACTTCCAGGCGATTGCAGGCCAGCTCCTCTCCCCCCCCCCCCCCCAGAGGCTGCAATATGAGCCCCAGACCGCCCCACCAGACCACAGGAGGCCCCCCAGAGTTCGCGGCAAAAGGGAGAGGAGGAGGAGGAGGAGGAGGAGGAGGAGGAGGAGGAGAGGAGGAGAGAGGAGGAGGCGGAGGAGGATTGATGGAGGAGGAGAAGGAGGAGGAGGAGGAGGGAGAGGAGGAAGGAGGAGGAGGAGGAGGAGGAGGAGGAGGAGGAGGGGGAGGAGGAGAAGAGGAAGAGGAGAAGGAGGAGGATAAGGAGGAGTTTGGTGATGCTCCCGCGCGGGAGGTCTTTCGTGGATGGGGCGATCTTGGCTTCCATTGACGCGTCGTGAGTTCATCGGGTTCGGCCCACCCCAGGGGCAGTTTGATGGGCAGCTGGTGAGGGTTTCGGCGAGGACCGCGGACTCCCTTTTCGCGGCGCCTCGAACTACTGTGTAAGACCGTTCGCCCCCCGTAGTCGCATATGATCGGTCGAAAGAGATTGTCATTGACACGGCCAACTACACGAGAGGCAGGGGCTATTCGAGTCGAAAGCCAGTGCCATGCTTCACAAAACACACTTTCGGACATGGTATTATCACGTCCATGGCCTCGCGCATTTGGAACGTAGCAATTACCATCTCTGCCCTGCCAGACACCGCATATCTGATAGCATACCTGCAGGAGCGTGTCACTACCATAGCATAGAGTAGAAACACCACATACATGTTACATGTGATGCTGCATTCCAGGAGAAGGATCCACCAGCGTCAGACACAGGAGGAACTCATGTTGTCGTCCTGCAGCCCATCGTGGGGGAGATTTCTGTGCATCCCACTGCAGGGGAGGCTCCTTGTTTCTCTTCGGCTGGCTGACTTGGGATCGGGCGGCGCCGTACGGGGTGGATCGGGAGCACGAGCTCGCTTTGGATGTGCCTGGATTGGGGTTGGTGCTTCCATAGGCCCTGGCCAACATATATTGTTGGGCTTGTTTTCCACCGCCACCACCATACGTAGGTGGAGGAGGGGGTCCTCCTCCTCTTCATCCTCCTCCTCCCTCCTAATCCTCCACCTCCTTCCCCCTCCAACTTATGGTGGCGGTGGTTGTGGTGGTGGAAAACAGGCCCAACCTAGATGCTGACCCATGGCGTCAAGAAACCAGCGACCCGAGTCTGGGTGGACCTTCGCCCTTCGGGGGGTCCACTCAGGCTTTCTGCGTGCGGCGTGGCTGTCTCTGGAGCGCCGAGGCATTCGTGGATCCTGCGCGAGGGAGCCTGGGACCACGAGCCGATTTGGCTTCAAGCCTTGTCACCTCTCGGTCAATCTTGCCTCCTGTTGGCTTCCCTGGGCAATTGTTCACAGTCCAGGCGGAAGTCGATAGGAGGCAACTCAAGATCACCCCAGGCATTCCCAGCACCTTGCACCCGCGATCGCTTTGGAAGCGGAGGGGCTTTTTGATTCGGCGCAGATATCCTAGCCCCGGCAAGTACGGAAGCTTCGTGTCGTGGCGGTTGAACGCCGCCAGCCGCCCAGAATCGACCAATATGGAACGATCCGGCGATCGAGAAGCCGTCGAGCAAGCGAGGTTGAGCGCTTCACGCGGTGTCAGAAATCAACGCTGGGGTCGTTACGACACGACCCTGCCGTAATAAAGCAGAGGTGACCTCACCATATTTGCTCTGTCAGCCGAGCGGCTTCACGGATAGATTTGCTTGCACGGTGTTGGGACGGAGGCGGAGAGGGCGAGGAAAGTTGCCAGTCCGCCCCCCCCCTAAGGAGCGCGTCGTCGAGCTTCGCGACTACTCCTCCAAGGCAGCAGATATCGGGCATAAGCGACAATTCGGCGGCGAAATCTGAACCCTGCCCTCGCCGATCACAACGATTCAGGCAACTCGATTGGGGGTGGGGGTAGGGTTCGACATTCGTCGAGCACGTGGCGAAATCCGAACACTACCCCCGCCTCCCATCGGTTCAGGAGAATGGATGGTTGTTAGTGGTAGGGTTCGGATGTCGCCACTAGCAGTGTCCACGTGACGTAAGAAATTAGTTTGCAAGCAGGCGCCCCACGGAACGTTCAGGCGCCCCACGGAACGTTCTTGACCCCCCGAAGGCTTTATCCCTCGAAGGCCCTGGGGACACACAGAAGCCCTGGGGCTCGTTAGCAAGGATGACACACGTGCGATGGGTGTGCCTGGATTTCTCATCGCAGTAGTCCTGATCGTGCGTGCCCTGGGATCTGCTCGTGCGATCGTCGTGGAGGGCGATCAATGGAGAGGCAGCATGTTGCCAACACATTTCCAGATATCTAAAGCATGTCGTAAGCCTGTTTAGACATGTTTTAACCATGCTTTAAACATGTTCAAAACATGTTTAGAACATTTCCCGACATTTTCACATGTTGAGTTCAATGCTGGGACTGTCAGGGTGTCCACTGCCGTGGCATCCACCATGCTATCGGCCAGGCAGTGCCAGAGACGCAACAGCAGAGCCCTTGGCATCGCTCGGCCGTGTGCATTTTTCCTTTGGCGAGGACCCTCGAGGAGCATCTTTGACCATTTTGCGAAAGAGCCACGCACGAAACCGAACAAAAACACAGGGAATGGACGTCCGAGCGATGGCGAGAGCTGCACCAGGGACCGCACGGCGGTGCAAAGCCACCCGAAAAGGCGACGGCAGGCCTGCCGTCCCTGTGGCACGCCCGGCCCCCCTCCCGTCTTCCCCCTTCCCCTCCTCCTCCTCCTCCTCCTCCTCCTCCTCCTCCTCCTCCTCCTCCTCCTCCTCGATCAAGGACCTCCGATCAGCAGGGCTCGTTTCGGTTCCTCCGATTGCCATTCGACTCGAGGGCTTCGGCCTCCGGTTCGCTTCGGCTCGGGATTCCGACTTGGGGGGCGCCGATCTCTCGCTGGAGGCCCACTGGCCTGCTGCCTTCCGCCGGCTCGGCTCCTCCCGGCTCGGCTGCCGATCTCCGCCGGTCCGATTCATTTTGATCGCCGATCCTCTGGACGCCCGAGATGGGCACGGAAAGAATGGGTACGATGTCCAACAGCAGTTCCAGTTCATTCTGAACAGGATTCGCTGTCCACGCCGCCGCGGCCTGTGTCCATTCGAGACAGAAGGCCGCCTGCCCAACAGCGGCCGCTGTTGGTTTGGGACAACATTTGTTGGTGGGCATTGTGCCCATTCTTTCGGTACCCATTTCGGGTGTCCAAAGATCCGACTCATCGATTCGATTCTGGGCTCTCTTGCTTTTCCTCGTCCTGACCGCTGGGCCTGTTCCAGCGCGCCTGCTGCCCTGGCTTGCTGGGATCAGGATCCGCTCCACGGGCACACTGGGGCGCAGGTCCTGTGGGGAGGCCAAAGGTATTGATGTATCGATACCCATCGGTCGGTGAAACTAGGTACTTTTGGACTCCCATATTCCAATCTACTTTAAGCGCCTTCCTACTTCAATGATCGAGTGGCTTCACCTGTCCGTCCTCCCAAGGGGGTGGACGGAACCCAGTCTATTTTCAACGCCTTCCTACTTCATGTTTCTACCTACTTCTTCCGACCGATGGGTATTTCTACTCCCCGGACCTCCCCTGGGGTCATCCTGACCAGGATTTCGAGGCGAATCCAGCGGCGGCGACGAGGGCCTCGCAGGAGGCCCCAGAAGGGGAAAGCCAGGGAAGGGTAGCGGCATGCCTTTTTTCGGAACCTGGAGCCTATACATTACCAGTGGCGGCCGTGTTTTTCAATCCCAGGACTTTTTGAGGGTCGGGGGCGACGTCGGGGTGGTGTAGTGTATACTCGTTTCCCCGTTTTCCCAGGAAGCATTGGAAAATGTATACACCAGGGTCCCGTATTCACCAGGCTCAGCTTTCTCGCGTAGAGGTCCGTGCACGGCCGCACGAAGACGCCGGTGCACAGAGTGCGGCTCCCTATCCTCCTCCTCCGATTCCGGGCCCGCCCGCTGGGGATTCTCCTGGCCGGCGCCGGGGAGCCCAGGGAAATTCGGAAGCCTTGAGACGGGGGTCAATGCAAACGGGGGTCAGCCACGGCGCCAGATCCTGCAGGATCCCGCGAAGGCCCCTCTGGCTGACCCGGGTCAGCGAGCCGCTCGCGGCCGCGGCCGCGCACATTGGCTGACCCCGATTTGCGAAGACCTGCGCTGCGGTTGTTTTTTTCCCTGCAGTGCAGTTGTTGGTTTCCTGCTGACCCGAGTCTGGGCTGACCCGGGTCAGCAGGAAACCGACAGAAGGGGAGCAGCTTGAGGGGGGAAGGCCTCTTAGAACCCGCACGGTCGACCCGCATAGTGAGGAGGACCGACTTCCGGGTCTGGATTGACCCGGGTCAGCAGGAAACCGACAGAAGGGGAGCAGCTAGAGGGGGGAAGGCCTCTTAGAACCCCCGCACGGTGGACCCACTTAGTGAGGAGGACCGGCTTTCCAAGGGCTGACAATGGGCAGCAGATCCCGGGGGAGCTGATCGTGCACCTCTCTGCGCGCCCTTCGCGCTTCCTCGTGTGGACGCTCCCGCCCTCGCTCGCGCTCGCGCTCGAGGTGCGGCCCCGCTGCCCCCCCCCCCCCCCACGCGTGCGCGGCCCTCTGAAGAGACAGAAAAGAGAGAGAGAGAGAGAGAGATGAGCAAAAGCTCTCCTCTCATCCTCCTCCTCCTCCTCCTCCCTCCATCATCCCTCCTCCTTCCTCCTCCTCCTCCTCCTCCTCCTCCTCCTCCATTCTCCTCCTCCATCCTCCTCCGCCTTCTCCTCCTCCTCCTCCTCCTCCTCCTCCTCCGAGAGAGAGAGAGAGAGAGAACACAAACAAGAGCATGAATCAACAAGGGCTCCTGGGGCAGATTTTTTCTCGGGGCGGACGACAGGGTAGGATAGGGAAAGGGTGGGGGGGCTCCCCCTCCTCCATCCTCCTCCTCCTCCTCCTCCTCCTCCTCTTCCTCCTCCTCCTCCTCCTCCTCCTCCTCCATCCGATAGTCAAGCAAGTGTCGAGTATCCAACGAGGTTTTGTTCCTGGCCGCCAATTCCTCAACAACATAGTCGAAGCCGACACGTACAGCCGCATCTACAGCACCATGGACAACGCCGCCGAGCTCATGCCGTGCTTCCTCAGCATGGACATTGCCGCCGCCTTCCCAAGCCTGCTTCACACTTGGTTATGGGAAGTGATCCGCAGATGGGGGATTGGTGGCCGCGTCCATCGCCTTCTCCAGTCCTTCTACGCCTCGCCCATCGCCTTCCTCGAGCTGGGAGGCACACGTCGACCATTACTCGTTGCAGCCAGCGGCGTAGCTCAGGGCTGCCCACTCAGTGGCACCATCTGGGCCCTGGTATTCGACCCCATCCTACGCGGAATTCAACGCCACTTTTCTCAGATTGGCCGTGGCATGGCCAGTGCTTGTGCTGACGACATTGGTTGTGTTTTAGCGCGCTTGCGTGACATGCAAGGCATCCTACCGCATACCGAGGCGGCCCACACATTCGCGGGGCTGTTGCTCCAACCTCGGAAGTGCGTGCTCGTCCCAGTCTGGACCAACAGCTCCGAAGACGTCGACAACTCCATGCGCGACACGCTCGGGACGATCAACCCCGCCTGGGCCCAATTCAACATCGACGGCAAGGCCAAGTACCTCGGAGTCTACATCGGCCCGTGTGCTGATGATCGTGCACAATGGGCCGCCCCTGCGGCCAAGTGGTACCACCGCACCCAGATATTGGACGACGCCTCCGCGGCCATCCAGCTGAACGTCTCGCTGTACAACACCTCCGCGATCACATGCCTCAGCTACGTCGGACAACTGTTCCCAGCTCCAGAACTCGTTCTTTCTAAAGAAATTCATGTCCTTCATAAAGTTATCAGATCTGCTCCTTCAGCATTCACCAAGCTCGACATCCTCGGCATGACGAACTGGGCGGGCTGCGCCATCCCCATCGGCGTCGAAGTCCTGCTAGCTGCCACGCTGTGGCGTTCTGCTACTTCCACCATCAGCGTCTGGCCCCAGCTTCTCGAGCTACACCATCAGGCAGCAGTTGAACAGCTTCCACTTGCACAAGTTGTCCAGGGTCTTTGGACCGCGCCGTGCTGGGCCTCCGCGACCTCGATCGCGCAGCACCTGCGGGCGGCCAAGTTCGGCGACAACTACTCCACCCACAAGGGCACCATCTTCAAGATCATCAAACGCAGCCGCCACCACGATCATCTGGCTCACCGTCAGCTACGCCAAGCTCATGAACTCGCCCGTGCCGCTGCTCTTCGTGTCCTGGACAAACTTCGCCGTGCTGAAGATGACCCTCCGAAGAAATCACCACAAACCACATACATGATCACGCTGCAGCGCACGCTCTACGAAGACTCTTTCGACGCCACCATCGCCGCCCGCCTTTGGGCCTGGTACCCCACCCTCCCGTCGGCGCCGTCTGCTTACATATCCGACTCAGGACGCCTCCAACGATTCCCACCACTTCACCTACAAGTTCCCAACACGCCTGATGACGATGACAACGACATGCGAAACGCAGCCAACGAGCTCGATACCATCGCCGAATGCCTGCAGCATTGGGCCTCCGTCTGGCTGCCTTCGATATACCTCACACAACAACACCATGAATGGGACTTCGACGACTGGCATGAATGGTGCGAAACTTTTATTCTTCGTCATCTCCGTCGTGGCGGTCTTCCAGTCCTTTTTCGTGGTCAAACAGATGCCCAACTCCGTCGGCGTGCTGAACGTATTTGCACGCAGGCACGGTAGTCAACCGCGGCCTCCAGACTCCAGACCACCGCTGCGTTCAACCTCCCCCGTACTGCCGAACTACAGCAGAGGTTCGATCGTGCAGCTTCCGAACACCACGCTAGGCGTCGCTGGATCCACGACGCCGACTTCCAGAACAACGACTCGGACTCCACGCCCATGATCACCGACGATCTCACCAACGCATACAGTCGGACCGAGGAGTAAGATCGAGGTCGGATCGGGGAGGGTACCCCAGTGTTCTTCGTGCTTGTGGGTTGTTCTTGTGCATCCTGGGGAGGGTGCCCTTGGATGTGTTGTTTGCTTTTGCCCACAGAGGGTCTCATGTTCTTAAGCGATGTTCTTCTGGCCCAGGTCCGACTGTACGCAGACGACAACGACATGACCTCCCTCATCCAATTACCGTTCAACGTGAAGGCCGCGTGGAACCGCCTCCGCCCGAAGCTCGCCGAGTTGCCGCCGTCGCGCTTCTGGCCCGTGATGAAGACGCTATCGGGCGGGTGGGCCACGTCTTACCGCATGCACGGACAGCCTACCCTTCGTGGTTGCGTTCTTGGTTGCAACCCAAAGTTTCACCCCGACTCTTTCAGCCACTATCTGGTCTGCAAGCGCCTGTGGCACCACGCTGCGCTTCCTCGCGGACGCCTTCATCGATGTGTTCTTGCTAGGCTTGGCTTGCACGACACCAACTTCGACCCGAATGGGGCCACCGACGACCACATTGACCACGTGCTCACTCGCCTCGCCGTGGCCTGCAGGTTCTACCACTCCTTCAAGGTCGACGGCAGCATCGACAACTCGTACCACATCCACAAGAACTACATGCAGGCCTCCCGCCTCGCACTGAGGCTGGGCCCGAGCGCGCACGGCGGTGCCCGCTAGCCATCGATCGACGCGCCTCTCCCCGGGGTTCGTTCGCTCCTCCTCCTCCTCCTCCTCCTCCTCCTCCTCCTCCCCCTCCGAAAGAGAGAGAGAGAGAGAGAGAGAGAGAGAGAGAGAGAGAGAGAGAGAGAGAAAGAGAGCAAACAATGAGCATACATCCACAAGGGCTTCTCTGGGCTGAGGACGAGAGGGCAGGATAGGGGAAAGGGTGGGGGGGGGGGGGGAAGAGAGAGAAAGAGAGAGAGAGAGAGAAAACAAACAAGAACATACATCAACAAGTTCTTCTGGGGGTCGATTTTCTCGGGGCGGACGAGAGGGTAGGATCGGGAAAGGGTGGGAGGGCTCCTCCTCCTCCTCTTCCTCCTCCCCCTCTTCCTCCTCCTCCTCCTCCTCCTCCTCAGAGAGGGAGAGAGAGAAAGCAAACAAGAGCATAAATCCACAAGGGCCTCTCGGGGCTGATTTTCTCGGGGCGGACGAGAGGGCAGGATAGGGAAAGGGTGCGGGGGGAAGAGAGAGAGAGAGAGAGAGAGAGAGAGAGAACACACAAGAACATACATCCACAGGGGCTTTTTTCGCTGATTTCCTCGGGCGGACGTGAGGGTGGGTAGGGAATAGGGGTGAGGGGGGAGATCTATATATAAATTATATTAATATATATATATATATAGAGAGAGAGAGAGAGAGAGAGAGAGAGAGAGAGAGAGAGAGAGAGAGAGAGAGAGAGAGAGAGAGAAAAAAACAAAAGAGAACACATAATAACATACATCAACAAGGGCTTCTGGGGGCTGACTTTTGTCTGGGCGGACGAGAGGGCAGGATAGGGAAAGGGTGTGGGGGAGAGAGAGAGAGAGAGAGAGAGAGAGAGAGAACAAACAAGAGTGTAAATCAAGAAGGGCTTCTGGGGGCTGGTTTTTCCTCTGGGCGGACGAGAGGGCAGGATAGGGAAAGGGTGGTGGTGGTGGTGGGGGGGGGGATAGGACGTCTGCGGCGTGCAGCGGGGGCTTCCGCCCCGCCGCCGGGCCCCTGCCTCCATGGGGCTGGCGCCCTCCCGGCGCCGGGAGGCGCCGGGAGGCGCAGGGAGGCCCCCCCTTGCGCGTGCGCGGCTCTCGCGAGAGAGATCGAGAGAGAGAGAGAGAGAGAGGCAAGGGCGCCCTCGAGGGCGCGAAGTGATTCGCGCTTCGCGCTGCGCGCTGCGCGGTTCGGCTCGGATTCCGCCTCAGCCTCCTCCTCTTCTCTCCCGGGAGGCGGCGCGAGAGCGCGATGTTCGTCGCGCTTCGCGCGGCGCGAAGTGCGAAGAGAGAGAGAGAGAGAGAGGGAGAGAGAGGACTTATGGTCATGTTGCTCCAACCTATTGTAGCCTCGATCACCAGAAATAGTTTCGAGTGCCAAAAAAGTACCGAAAGTCAAGGGTTTTCGCGTGTCGGGCCCTGCGAGACACTCGCCCGACACTGTTTCGACACTGCTTCGACACTCTTTTGACACTTTTCCGGGTGCTCGAAATTATTTCTGGGATGTGGTCATTGGGTAGGATGAGAACAACATAAACTTATGGTCGGCGGCAAGCGAGGGGGGGAAGTTTCGAGGAGGAAAAAGTACCCATGTCATTACGCTTCTCCCGTCTTCCTCCTCTTGGGCCTCCCAGGAGGCCCTCGTCGTCGCCGCTGGATTCGCCTCCGAATTCTGGTGAGAGTGCACCTCACCAAGGAGAGGTCCGGGGAGTAGCAGCGTCGGTACCTCTGGGTTTCCCCCAGCAATGAGAAGAAGAAGGCCTTCTGAGAATGCGGCGGGACTTCTCAGAAGCCTTCGCTCTTTCGGACAGGTTTTCTCTGTCTCCGGGGAAGGCTCAGGAAACTTCTCAGAAACCAGGTGACTTCCGAGCCGTCTGAGAAGGCCCGCCCCTGATCACTTCTCCCCGTCGCTCGCGTGGGTGCTGAAGTTGCAGGAACGGCGCAGGGTCGGAGCAGCGGCACAAATCATCGACCAACACACAAACTACACCACCCCACCTGCGGCCCGCCATGCTGCACTACGGGCCCATTGGAGGCCGTTGCGTACAGTCGGGGCCCTGAAGAAGGAACCCTTTTCGTTGGGAAGGGGCTCCGCGTTCCTGAAGTGTTTCACAGCTTGCCTCAGGTTTTCTTTATGGCTTCGATAGGAAGTTCAACTTCTGGAGAAAAGGGGCCTCGTTCCTTATTTAGGGTTCCTTAGGTCAACGCCCCGACTGTAAATGCTACGGCCCGCGGGGCCGCAGCTGGGGTGGTGCCGCTCGTTTTCTGGTCCACGTCCAGGCGGTCGTGCACAGCTTCTGCGAGCGGGAGCGCACCCGCGCGGGGGATCCGATGGCCGACTTGGAGAGGTTCGAGCAGACGCTGGGCGGCGCGGGGGCCGCGGGGCGGCGCGCGAGCGGCGGCGGCAAGGCTGGGGAGATGAGCGCCGCCCACGAGGCGCGTGGCATTCCTGCTCCTATTCCTCCTCCTCCTCCTCCTCCTCCTCCTCTTCTCCTCTTCCTCCTCCTCCTCCCTCCTCCATCCTCCTCCGCCTCCTCCTCCTCCTCCTCCATCTCGCTGCCCTCGCCTCGTTTCCCCCTTGCGGGGCCTCCTGGAAAACCCTCGCCGCAACAGCTGGAATCGCCTCAAAGTTCTGGTCAGAAGGTACACTGGGAGAGATCCGGGGAGTAGCGGTATCGGTACCTTTTGGTTCCCACATTTCCACTCCTCTCTTTCTTCTTTACCCGTCGTGCCGTCCTGGCCCTCAGTCGTCGACTCTAGCTTAGCGTGCAGCCGAATATCCGATCGTTCCTCGTGCATGCCCCCGACGACGGCTACTTCGACCCGTTGCCTCGGAGGCTCGCCGAATCCCCAAGCACAAGGACCCTTCAACGAACATGATTATGTCTCTCCTGACCGCCTGCGAACTATGGAGTCGGATCAGTATCAGCAGCACGACGCGACTTCACGTCCTCATCATGATGCCAGAGGCGTGGTCGTTCGGTGGTCTCCCCTGCGCCACTTACAGTGCACAGTATCGTATTACTTTGGGCCCGTGCGCCTGTGCCATCTATACCTTGCCGCTCCCTCTTCCTCTCGTTCCTCTCCCCACCCCCTCACACCTTTCCATCCCTTCTCTTTGTCCTCCCCCTTCTCCACCTGCCCCTTCTTCTCCCCCTCTCCCCCTTCTCACCCGTCTCCAGTTCGTTTTCCCATCCCCCTCCTCGTCACCCCCCTGACGATGGATGCCCTCCAGCATGCAAACAAGAAGAGTTGTCTTCTCTTGGGATGCCAGGCGCAACCTGAGCTGGTTTTCATTACCCCTCCTGGGTGTGGAGGAGGTGCGTGAGTTCTTCCATGCGGAAGTGCTACACGAGTTCTTTATGCAGAAATGCTACTTCGGACTGGAGCCCTTGTAGTCTCAAAATACACCAGAGAACAGGATGGAACCTCATTAACGAAATCAGATCCGATTGCAAAGGGGTCGCACAACACACTTGAAGGATCGCCTTTGCCTGTGTAAGAGCAGTTGGTGAATATTCGGTTTCAAGATGATGGCATCAGGTAGAGTCCTGGCTTGACCGAGCGATGGCCTGCCATGGTCGGGGGCGGCAGAGGGGGGTGATGACCAGGGGGGGTGGATATCATGGCATGGGCCATGATATTTCCCCAGGCTTCATGGCGCCTCTTATTCTTCCATTACGTCCCTGGCCCCTCCGCTGGGCCGCGCACATGCCGCTGGTCATGATTTGCACCCCCCTCTTGGACACCCCCCTCTTGGCCGCTCCCGACATGGGGACTGCAGGGTGATTTGCAAGTGCATCTGGTGTGATCCGTGAACGAGGTTCCTGTAGATATCAACTGGGTTGGACCTCAGCGGGCCCCGGAAGCGGCGGGGCCGTTCCTTCACCGTTTTCGAACAAGTGTCTCTTGAAGATGGAAGCGGTAAAAAGAAACGGCCGCCGGAAGCGGCAAAGAAACGGCTCCAGGATTGGCACCGGAATCAGAACCCGAAACAAAAACGGCAAAGAAACGGCTCCGGGATTGGAGTTGGCCTCAAAAATGGCACAACGGAAGCGGTAACAGAAACGGCCCTGCCGTTTCCAGGGCCCATAAGTGGATGGACTGTGTGACAGCCCCCGCTTCCACAGGAGGAAGTCACTACCTGGGCCTCAATCGTCGGTTCGCTGATGTGTTGCCAGCTTCCTTGCGAATTTCGCAGAAGTGATCATCATTGTCTTCAACAGGTGCGTACACTATATGGAAGGCCTTCGCACTTCTGTGTTGCCACAACCACTGAATGAGGGCATTTATTCCCACCGCAAGGGAGGGTCGCCCAAGGTACGTTTCTATGCAGGCTTGAGCTTCCGGTAGTCAGCCGGGTGCCTGAACTATTGACAGATGGAGCGCGCGTGGCCATAAATTATGGACATGTAGTGGGGGAAGTCTACTTTACCGATCATTGAGGCTGAAGCTTCCTTTCAGCGTAAAGTGGACTGTCGCCCTTTCCTTTGGCTGGAGCTCGCAGTCCTGATGGCCTAGAATGTGGCTCATCCGCTCTGCAAGTTGTAGTGTAATCGTCTCTATGTCTTTCCACCCACTTGTCTGTTTGTTTTCTCCCCAGAATGGGCCTCTCCTCGACCTTCACTTTGCCTCCTCCTCCTCCTCCTCCTCCTCCTCATTCCTCCAACTCGTGAATGGCGCCAGGTTGGAGCAGCTGCCTGGGAGGGAGAAATTTGATGTGAGGAGCTCGGGGCCAGGACGAACATTGAACGGGTGCCCGTTTTGTTTGTAAGTGGAGTCTCTGTCTTTGTCTGGGAAGCATCAACGTTTGTTTTGTTTCTGAGCGGAGTTGTTCAAGTTGTTATTTTGAGTTGCGCCCAGCTCCCATGCCGCAAAGTAAAAACAGAAATCCTCGTCCCGCCCCTTTCCCTTCCCCTCACCCTCTTCCCCCCTCTCGCTCCCGCTCCCCCTCTCCTTCCCTCCCCCTCCCTCCCCTCTTCTCCCCTTTCCTGCCTCACTCGAGAATCTGTTTCGTTGAGCTGCCTGAGAAGGCGCTGGGCAGGACCCCGTGACCCACGACTCACACTGTCTCTCGTGCTCCGCCAACCTCGCTCTCCTGTGGCCCTGATGCCCTGATGCCTCGTGGTTGGGGGGGGGGGGGGGGCGCGGTCTGTCCTGGAGGCGCCCGACGACCTTGATGCCCCTTTCTCCCACGAGCGCCGCAGGTGTTGCCCCGCACACTCCTCCACACAATTGGGGCTCTTTTGTCGGGTCGTGTGAGGCTTCGGGATGCCCGAGGCGTTCCCGAAGGGGTCTCGCCTTGGAGGACCGAAGGCGTTGCCATCTCGGTTCGTGAGGCTTCTGGATGCCCGAGGCGTTCCCGAAGGGGTCTCGCCTCTGAGGGTCGAAGGAGTTGCCATCTCTGCCTCGGCGGACCGCGGCGGACATGGCGGCGGAGGGCGGCGGGAAGCATTGTCGAGGGTGGCTCCCCCGGCGGGCGCTCGGCGGAAGGCGGCGGAGGTGCACCCCCAAGAGAGGGCACCCTTCTCTGGGGTTCAGGGTCTCCTCCCCCTCCTCCTCCTCCCCCTCCTCCTCCCCCTCCTCCTCCTCCTCCTCCTCCTCCTCCTCCTCCCTCCTCCTCCTCCTCCTCTCCTCCTCTCCTCCTCCTCCTCCTCCCCCTCGTCCTCGTCCTCCTCCTCCCTCCTCCTCCTCCTCCCTCCTCCTCCTCCTCCTCTCCTCCTCCTCCCGCCTCGTCCTCCTCCTCCTCCTCCTCCTCCTCCTCCTCCTTCTCCTCCTCCTCCTCTCCTCCTCCTCCCCCCCTCCTCCTCCTCCTCCTCCTTCCTCCTCCACCTCCTCCTCCTCCTCCTCCTCCTCCTCCTCCTCCTCCCTCCTCCTTCGACTCGGGCAGTGGAACCCCCTGAACGGACCATCGTCCACTGGACGCGTGTCGGCCACGCGCAGAAGGGGGGGTTAGGGCGAGGGGGGAGGGCGTCTCGGGAGCACCCCAGCCTCTGAGGAGGCGCGGGCCTCCTCTGTCGGCGCCGGGCCAGCGCCTTCTGAGGAGCAGCCTCCTCCCGAGAGGCCTTCCCCCCCTCGCCCCCCTCTGCCGCCTTGTGCGCTCCGCCGAGCGCGTGGCGTGTCCAGCGGGCGCGCCGGGAGGTAGTCTTATGTCGGGCGTGTCCCCCTACAGGGGGAGCGTCGACGAAAAGTAAGGAATACCCCACAAATACACCAAAAAGGTCAAACAAATACCCCAAAGATAGTCCCCCAGACTGTTCTTGGACCACTTCTGGATGATTTTTGGGGTATGTTTTTTTCTTCGTCGAACGTCCCCCCTGCAGGGGGCCAGGCCCGACTTGAAAGGCAGGCGGTGCGGGCAAGTGCGGGGCCACACCCCTGCGGCGGCACGACGCCAGGCGCGGGAGGCGGCGCTGCTCAGCGGGCGGGCGCAGAAGGCCCGGCCCGAGCTCGGGGGAGTCGCGTCGGAGGTCGTTGGCAGGGAGGGCGGGGAGGCGAGCGCTCGGGTATCCCTGGAGGGCGCTGTGTTTTCCCATGCATCCTGTGGTGCTGGGCCCTCGTCCCTCGTCTCCTCCTCTGCTCCTCCTCGTCCCCCTCCTCGTCCCCTCCTCCTGCTCTCCTCTCCTCCTCCTCCCCGCGTTCCCGTCCTCCTCTCCTCCTCCCCCTCCTCCTCTCCACCGCCCGCGTGCGCCCCCCCCCCCCCCCACACCCAGCTTGGCACACCCCTCGCACGTCGTCGTGGCCCCGTGGAAGGCGCTGTGGTTTTCGTGTGCGCCTTCCGGTCTCTTCGCTCCTGCCTCGGCCAGAGCGGTCGAGGGACGACGCCCCGGAACGTGGTCATTTCCGTCAAGCTCGGCACCAGGGAAATGCCCACAACCACCGCTCCTTTTTTTCGGCCGGCTGGAAGGCCGCGCAAACCAGAAGCAGTGGCCTGTGGTCATTTGCCCGTCCCGCGCTGTTTTGGATGCGTTTTCCAGTCTTCGCTCCTGACTCGGCCTGAACGTTCGAGGGACGACACTCCGCGGAACGTGGGCGTCGGGCAGGCGTCCTCGTGGCGCCTAAGAGAGGGCGTAGGGAAAACCACGCTCTCCGAGAAAGCGGGCAGACCTCGAGCCGGTGGGCCACGGGCCGATCTGGGTCCCGAGGACGCACACACGTGCTGCAGCCCAAAACGGGCACGCGCACCGCCGATCCTGAGAGCAGAAGCAGGGCTCCTGCGTTGTAGACCTCATCTAAAGCTCCTGCGTTCTAGACATCATCATCTTACAGTGCTCGTGCCTATTCACACCCGAGGACATACACAAGCTGAAGCCAGAACGGGCACGCGCGCCGCCGATTTTGAGAACAGAAACGAGGCTCCTGCGTGTTAGACCTCATCTCAGGGCTGGCGGAGTTCAGAACAGGAAGAACACATGAACACAAAAGCTTGTATTGGTTTTGCGCCGGAAGGGGCCGTCGTTGAGAGGGTGCCTGGCACGGATGCGGGGATCGGGGTGGCGTCGGTGTTTGGAGCTGGCGGTTTGCGTGGCAAGTGCGTTTAGCAAAAACGAGTAAATAGACACGAGCACTCCGAGTGCTCGTGCCTATTTGCTTGTTTTTTTGCGCGTCTGCTTAATGTGTTTCGTGCCCCCGAGAGGAGGACGACTGGACGCAGCCGGGAGCACATGTCAGAGCGATTGATCTTTGCGGTGTCAGCGTCGTGTTGGGGGGATCTGTGTCCGGCACTCCTCTTTTCGGAACCTTCAGCCAGGCAGCTACTTCCATTATATCATTCGGTGTTTCATCCGCGCATCGGGAGGTGTTCTGTGCCACTTTTGTGTCGAAGTCAACCCCGCAGCACATGTTTGTGCAGCAAGATGATCCTGCCTCAGTGCAGTCCCCTGGGCTGTGGTGCTGTAGTTTGAGGCCCGCGTGTGGGCCCGATATGTGCGCGGGAGTTGCTAAGCCAGTCCGGCCGCTATGTATTTCCGCGATCGTTGTGGAACCCGTCATGGGGCACGACACGTTTGACGTGAGCGCCGTGACAGCTTGGCCACATTATAGTTCCACTGGGCGAGTAGCTGGGGCCTTTATAGTTCACAAGCCGCGCGATGGGTGCGCCCAAACTTGGCATGTGGCCAGCGGGACTGTTGTTCGGGCTTCTTCTATGGTTGCGCCAAAAAAGATCTGGCCCTAGTGCATTCTCTTCGTAATAATCAAGGCCATTGCTGAGCCACTCTAAGGGTCGCGAACCCTGTGAGAGGTGTACCAAAACGGTCCATTCCATTGTTGGCCTGCGCCCCTTCTGGGCCATAATCGGGTCCCTCTCTGGGGCACGAGAAGTATGATGTGTGTGTGTGTGTGTGTGCGTGGGCGCGGATTCGCATCCCGCCTGTGTCAACATTGTCCGCTGTGCGCGACACGCACAGTGTCCCTCCCAGTGTAGTACAGTGACGGCAGTAGTTTGGGCTTCCTTTGGTAAACGGGGCGGGTGACGTGTACGCCAATACGGTCGCGCCCCAGTATAGTCCCGCGGCCACAGTCCTTTCTCCCTCCGGTCCGCTCTCCCTCCTTTCCATCATCGTCTCTCTGTGTTTCCTTCCTTGTCCCTAGTCGAGTGCCTGCGCGGGGGCTTCCCCGTCAAATGACGACCTTTTACATCGTGCTCGATACATGCAGTTTCCGTGATGCGTGGTTCACCGGAGATACGGGGGCGTCGTGTTTCGTGGGGTGGTGGTGGGGATGATAATCCTGCGGTCATAGGTATCGGCGGTTCCCTCTTTGGCGACGACCCATGGCAAGTCGGTGAGGAAGGGGGGAGGAGGAGAAGGAGGAGGAGGCGGAAAAGAAGGATACTAGGAGGCAGGCCTGGGCTGTGGGTCAGAAAGCGAGAGCGTAATTAGTTGTCGACTGGGCAAAACGATGCTGAGTAGCAAGGATGCGGCAGGGATGAGAAGGAGGTGGAGGAGGAGGAGGAGGAGGAGGAGGAGGAGGAGGAGGAGGAGGAGGGGGAGGAGGGGGAGCAGGAGTCTGAGAGTCTGAGCCCGCCACAGCGGATGTCAGTCCAGTGCTGGCGCCCTCCATCACGCTGCTCAACATCGTGCTGCCGACGCGCGCTGTGCTGCTCCGAGCTGCAAAGCTCGACCTACGACCCGTCCTGGTCTGATTTTGGCCCTGCCTGCTACTCAGAGCCACAGGCCCGAGGGAACTGGGAAGCGTTGAGAGCAAACCCTGTCTTGCTGCAGGGAGCGGGGCCGCTGGCAGCGCTCGTGCTGTTCTGGTGGGGGGAGGCCGGAACAGCGCGGCCACGGGCCCGACAGGGCAGCGGCTGGGCCAGCCAGGCCAAGCGCCCGCCAGAGCTGCCCCGAAGGGCCGAAGCGGCTGCGCGCAGGCGGGGGCCGACAAGAGCAGAAGCTGGCACCGTTTCTGACTCGGCCGCAAGCGGCTGTGGCGTGTGCCGACGGTGAGGTCATGCCGACCACCCCGATGGGCGGCCAGGGGCCCTCGGGGGTCCGCGTTTCGCTGGGCCTCCTGGGAGCTCACGAAGGTGGCGACAGCTGTGCAGTGGGCAGCACGTGGGGAGGCGAGGGGAGATACACACAAGTTGCAGGCAGGCGGTAGTTGGAGGCCGACACGAGGTATGGGGATAGGCAGGAGCTAAGAGGCAGGAGAGGGGCAGGAGGGAGGGGTCACACGGAAGGAATTAGGCAGTGGTGCTCGGTTCCAAACAGGTGGCCAACCAAAGGGGGGTTTGGTAAAGAAAGCGATGAGCAGGGAACGCGAGGAGGAGATATGGCAGGAGGAAAGGCGTGAGGAAGGAAGGAGGCTAGGGGGGGCAGGAATGAGAGGAAGAATGAGCAGCCGTTTTCGAGTCAGTGCCCGAGACAGGTTTCTGAGTAAAGTGCAGACAAGGGGTACCGAGAGCATAGTACACGGGCGCTCTTGCCCGTGCGCTTTTGCCCGTGAGCTCGTGCCCGTGAGCCCTTGCCCGTGAGCGGGCATCATTCCCTACCTAGGCTCTGCCTAGAGGGTTCTTACTTTGTTTGCTCAAAGGGGCCGGGCAGTGTAAAACGCCCCGGGCGGTTCCCCCAGTCCCCGCCCCGCGGTTCCCCCGGTTACGTCCCCTTAGCTTAGCGTTGCTTATCTCATCTTAGCTTAGCATGTTTCATCTTAGCTTCGCTTAGCTTCATCTTTGTTCATGTTTATCTTAGCTTTGCTTACCTTCATCTTAGCTTCGCCGAGCTTTATCATAGCAGAGCACAGCATAGCATAGCAGAGCGTAGTACCGCATAGCGCAGCACATCATATCACAGCATAGCCCAGCACAGCATAGCATAGCGCAGCATAGCATAGCATAGCATAGCATAGCATAGCGCAGCACAGCACAGCACAGCACAGCACAGCACAGCACAGCATAGCACAGCGCAGCATAGCATAGCATAGCATAGCACAGCGCAGCATAGCATAGCATAGCATTGCGCAGCATCGCATCGCACAGCACAGCCTAGCATAACACAGCGCAGCCGAGCGTACCCTAGCATAGCATAGCATAGCGCAGCATAGCGCAGCATAGCAAATCATATCATATCATAACATTTCATAGCATAGCATAGCATAGCATAGCGCAACATAACATACCATACCATAACATAGCATAGCATATCATAGCATAGTGCAGAGTATACGGCATGCAGATGCAGGTGTAGATGTACATGTAGCTGTCGGTGTAGATGTAGATGTTGCTTTCCTAAATGCTCCAACTCCTAGATAGGGTCGCACTGGGATAATTTGATTGTGTTCTGCGGTCGCGCCTCCGTAGCCATATTGGCTCAAGGTTCGGCTCAGGTCCTCTCGGCCAGCGCGCGCGCGCCCGCTGCGATAGGGGGCCGGGGCTGGGCCCAGGCGAGGCCGCGACGGCGGCCCACGAACCACGCACCGGCAGCCCGGCAGGGCACCGGCGGCCGTGCTGGTGCGGGCAGGCGCGCGTGCTGGTGCGGCTTGGCCAGGCGGCTGGCCTGCTACAGCAACGCCACAGCCACCAGATGCCCCCCCCCGCCGCGAGCGCGGGCAGCAGGCTCCTGGCAGGGGGCCATGCCGCTCCGACCGCGAGACGCTGGCGGCGCTGCGGAGGCTGCTCGGTGCGGGGGCGGCGGGGGCGGCTGCTGGGGATGCATCGGGCAAGGGGCAGCGGCGGCAGCAGGAGCAGCAGCGTCGGCAGCCGCGATGTGGAGCTGGTGCGCGGGAGGGGGGCACGGCCGAGCGGCCGGCAGGCCCGCGCCAGCCGACGCGGAGCTGCCCACGCGGGCTGGCCAGCGACTGGGCGTGCCGCGCGGAGCCGCCACGAGGGCGCCTTGGGCTCGGCAGGCGGCGGGGCGCCAAGGCAACGCGGCGGCTCGTCCATCCGCGGAGGCGGCGCCTGTGGCTGCGGGCGGCGCGGCTTCGGCTGCGGAGGCCGCCG